CCCCCGTGTGGACCTGCGGACGTGACCCCCTTCCTCTCCAAAACCCACAAGTGCTTTTTTTTATTTCCCCCGGCGCTATAAGACGTCTCTCCCCGTTTCTAATAACCGCCGGTTAGCCTCGGAGACAACAACCAGACGGAGAGCGCCATCCTTCGACAACAACAAAAAAACTGCAGTTTTTTGGCCTTTGTGCTCTGTCCGATCCGACGGAAAAATGGCGGAAGAGCAACAAAACCCCCCCAGACTTTGACACGTGGGAGGTTAACGGCACACGTACGTGAACCCGGACTTGGCACACATCACTGACTGACAACATCTTCTACTCTTTATAATACTGGTACAACGCTCCCTGGTTAAGGCGACTGGTGAGCTTCTGTAGAAAATAATGCTGCCTTTTTTGTATTTTTTTTGCAGACCGTAAACTAGGCTTTCAGGGAGGGGGGTGGGGGGGTGTGGGGGGCAGTTGAATAGACTTGACAACACTGTGCCATGTAAACGGCTGGACTATGAGAATGTCAATAACACACTTTGGCATCTAAACATGATTTTGGCCCATCACACCACAAAGACTGGAGAAGTATGGAGAAGTCTTACAATCACTTTAAAAAATGAAAACGTCAAAGAATGAGTTGAGAAATAAAATAAACGAGTAAAAACCGTCCCGACGGCGGCGTGTGCTTTTCTTTATTCTCGTTCCTCCAGGGATCGAGGCCCGTTTGTGGTTCTTGCCCTGTGCTTACATCATGAGAAGCGAAGCTCGTCCGAGGTGATCGCGAGGACACAAAAGTAACGATCCTCGCCGCCCGAGACCAAAAAACAAACATGGGCGCCGGCTACGACTCAGACATGTTTTCGGAAAAAAGACAAAAAAAAAAACGATAAGAGGATTCTGAGAAATAAGGCTTTGGTGTATGACTCTCACCTCACCGAGGAGCGGGACAGCCTGCGAGAAGACAATCAAAACGATGAACACACTGAAGCCTGATGTCTGTGCGCGCGAGATACTAATAGAGAGAGAACAGGAGTGCAAAGATTCGTGGTAAGGCTTTGATGAATAAAACGGCTGTACAAATGGCTAAAAATATCAGTGCGCGAGTCCCGTCTTTTTGTTTCTTTTAAAGTGTGTGTGTGCACGCTGGCGGAGGGGGGGGGGGGGGTGTAGACGGTCGCTGTGGAGGCGTTCACACTCAGGGACTCTCATGCACAACAAGAAAGTAAACTGTGAGGTCTGCATGAGAATGTGTGTGTGGTGTGTGCGTGTATATAGATATATATATATATATATATGACACATGGGCACTTTTTTTTTTCCTTTGTTTTTGTTTTTTTTACATCTTTACAAAGAAAAAAAAGCAAACATGACATTTTCAGGCAACAAGACCACAGAATAGCAAGTTAACAAACTCTTTTTTTTAAATCTATATTTTTAAATATGAGGGATCCATACAAAACACTTATAATAAAATACCCATGTTATCAAATAATTTCACAAGAAGTACACTGACGCGCTAGGCAGGAAGTACCTTCAGAGTTTGGCACTGAACTCCACTGATCTTGTCTTTTTTTCTTTATAAGACATTTTGCCGAACAACAAAACACATCTAAATATTTGTTTCCCACGAGAGAAATAAAATAATAATGACATTGATGCTTCACAAGCTGACATTATATATATATATATATATATAGATATATTTATATTTATATATATTTTTTAGGAATTTTATATAGCTAATTAACCAACAACAAATTTAGCAAATAGGGACACTCCTTAAAAAAACCCAAAAAGAAGAAACAAAAAGAAAAGAAACAACAAAGTAACTATTATAGTAATATGAAAGGCTTTGTCTATTGTTCAAGTAAACTGATTTTTAGTCTTCTCTTGAAAAACATGAGACATTTAAGACCGTTAGACTTGTGATGAAACCACAACTAAACTCACGAGAAGCACCGACGTTAACGCAGGTTACAGGTATCTTAGTATTGTTGTTTTTTTTCCTCTATACATTTAAACAGTAGAAAATATAGGTCATTTCATCATGTGCATTTAAACCACGGATTGTCTATCTGTGAGTCAGTTCAGCAAAAGGTGACACAAGTAGGTAGCATTTCTCCCACCCAAACAGGGCAAATGTCTTTTTTTTATTTTTACCTTTAAACTACTCTAGAAAAAAGTGGTTCTATATATAGACTTTGAATGAGAAACAGAGCCACTTAAAATGGCCTTATCAAAAAACTTTACACTGCCTGAAAAATGTAAAAACCATTGGAGAGCTCTGAGAGAGTCTAATATTGATCAGACAGCTTTTATTCAAAACTGTTTGGAAGTAGTCTTATTTTTCAGAGGAAACTGGCGCGGGCTGCTTCTGGGCCGGCACTCGGGGTTTTTTTCCGTCGGCGCCAGAAGCAAGATGGACGCGCCAGTTCCTGTCGTGAACTTTCAAGTTTACTTTAAATGAAGAAGAAAAGAAAAGAAAAACTGACAGAAAGAAGAAGAAGAAGAAACAAAAAAAGTTGCAGGAACACATAGTGTATGGAAATCACTTTGCCACAGGTTGTTGTTTTTTTCCTCCAAAAAGAACATTTGTTTTTCCATAAAAATCTCTGTCTTTTCTGTGTTTTTCATACGAATGCAGCTTTGTATCTTTTTCACATTGATTCATTTTTCTCACCCGCCGCTCCCTTGTTTGTCGCCTCCCTCCCCTCCCTGAAACCCTCCCGGAAAACAGATCTAAATGAGGTCACATGCAAAGAAAACAACAACAACAACAGAAAAAAAAACAGAAAAAACAATAAAAATCCAAAAAGGTTCAACGTTCAAAAAGTCAGTAGGCGGCGAAGGAGGAGGAGGAGAACCAGGTTATGATCAGGTGAGCTCGGAAAAGACATCAGAGAAAACAATGACGGGGGAGGACGACGATGACACTTTGTTTTTTTGGTGGGGATTTTTTTTGTTTGTTTTCGTTTTAAAAGTTTGTTTGTTTTTTTTTGGACGCCACGGAGACATGCTAGGCAAACGATGAGCTAACAGGCATGGAGATGGTTTGTTCTAAAAGGGGGAAAGAAAAAACAGGGGAGAGGAGAGAGTTACACACAGAGAGCCAGAGCACCACACCACTACAGCATTTTGTTTTTGTAAAAAAATCAGGAGAAACAACAACAACAACAACAAACAACAACAAACAAACAACAATGCAAACACCACTCACTGATTTCATTTTTTAAGCTTTGATTTTGTTGTTTTTTAAATGATATGTTATAGGTATAGGTATACTGACAGGCAATAACAACACACACACAAACACACTCATTCTCACACACACACACACACACACACACACACACACACACACACACACACACACACACACACACACACACACACAAAACAAAGAGCACCCAAAGCTTTATCCATCAGATCCCAGATGGATGTCGTCATTTGGGAGAAAAATACATATTTTTTTGGGAGAGGGGGAGGTGGGTCTTATCATTTCTTTCTTTTTTTAAAATTTCAACATCTTTGGAAGGGGGGGGGGGGGTAAGGAGGGGAGGTACGAACAAACAAAAAACGCAAACAACCTAAACAAAAAAAATCAAATAAAATGAGGAAAAACGCGAGGAAAAAAGGTAGAAATGTTGACAAGAGAAGAAGTGGTCCCACTACGGATGGAGAGAGGGAGAGAGCGCTCAGAAGAGAGAGAGAGAGATGGATGGATGAACAGCACAGAGTGAATGAATGAATGACACAGGGGAGTGTGGAGGAGGAGGGGGGGGGTCGTGGTTCGAATGGCGGCGTGTTGTGATTGTGGTTTCTGCACCGAAAAAACATGAAAAACACGGGAGAACCCAACTCCACGAAACTTCTCCACAAGGGTCTACTCTTACCCATGCTGAATATTTTATAGGAGTCCAATAACTTAACGAGAGGCAATAAATAAAATCCTTTTTTTTTCATCTGAGGCAGTAAAAATGTCGTATAAAAATAGAACTGCTTTTTTTACAAATAAAATTTACAGGCCTGTGGCTTTCTGTACTTTTGACTTCTTTTTTTTTTTAAATCTTTCAACAAACATCAAGTATTTTCAGTTACCACCTCGAACCCATAACCTCTTCTTTTACTGTTAGAATTATCATTATAGCCTTCATCAAATTCTGGATGTTATCTGTGAAGATGTTCTACATGCGGTAATATCCCTTTTCACAACAAAGACCAATGTGATCTGACCCAGAAATGTACTCACTAATTTTTCTGTTTTTTTCACCTTCTGAGAAATAAAAAAACTGTTTTTTTATTTTCACATAAATGATAAGTGGTAGCTGGAGTGTGAGCTTCGTTTGTTTCTCTTCTTCTGGTGGTGGTGGAGCGTAGCTGTACTGACTATAATGTGAAGAGGCCACTAACGTTTCTGCAGCCTTTGCTCCCGGGTTGCCAGCAGGCATAGACGGGTTGGGTTTTTTTCGGAGAAGCAGCGGCGGCCTGCAACCAACGCCGCGGAGGTCAAAGGGCGAATGTGCATATCGGCGTGGTGTCAAAAAATAAATAAAAAAAACGAGAGAGAGAGAAAAATAAAAGTAAAATCATCATGGCTCCTTTGTCTTTACCTCGGTCGTGGCTGAAACTAGTCCTCAAAAATGTATAAATAATCTCTGAGAAATAATAAAAAACAACTTCTAAACAAACTACCCAACGTAGCTACTTCCTTCCAAAGAAAAAAAGAAAATTGCACAAAGTAATGGCGGTAATGGAAGCGTTCATGTGTGTAAAAATAATAATAACTGTAATAAATAATAATACTTGAAAGCTAACATAAAAATCTTCGGGAAAAAAAAACAAGGCGTGTGTGTCTCCCTCGGGGTGGTTGTAGGTCGTCTCCCCCTCCCGTCCCTGTGTAGAGAGGTCGTGGCTCGGTTTGCTTTTTTTTTTTTCATTGTCACCTCTTGGTGGGGGGACTTACCCTAGCAGTGCTAACATGGGGAGCAGATAGACCCTAGTGCTAAGATCAGTACGGTTTGCTGTCGTTCTTGGAGCGCTTCAGCTGCACCTTCAGCCGCTTCATGCCGATCTGGAAGCCGTTCATGGCCTGGATGGCTGCCTGTGCCGACACTGGATTGTCGTAGCTGACGAAGCCTGCGGTTACCAGAGGAAAAGTGAATAGTTGGTAAAAAAAAAGGCGATAGAGAACAAGAATGTGACAATGTAAATACTGCTCAATATTTCCACTTGGCATTAAACTTGCAACAGGGAGCGTTTCAAGTAATAAAGATTATATTTGTTAGAGTTGCATGAGTAAAGGTAAGCTATCCAATCTCTGAACCCATCGGCTATCGGTTTGACGACAATATTTCTATGGTTGCATTCTCTCTAGCGTCCACCAGGGGGCGACTCCTCTGGTTGTATAGAAGTCTATGAGAAAATGACTCTACTTCTCTCTTGATTTATTACCTCAGTAAACATTGTAAACATGAGTTTATGGTCTCAATCTCTAGTTTCAAGTCTTCTTCAATACAGCATGATGTTCATTTAGTACATTATGGTCCATTTAGAGTCAAACAGACCATAAAGCAGGGGATGCTTTGGGGCGGAGCTATTAGCAATAATACAATGATTCAACTGACTGAAAAGGAGAGCAGCTCATTTAGGCTACATTTTCATTTATCTACTGTCGTCAAAATGCAGCACGAACAGTGAAGACAATCGTCTAAGGATTGTAAAAGTTGCTCACATGTTGGCTAATAGAGCCCGTGTCCGCTAAGGTCAATAAGGTAAATAACAACATATGTTACCCGGAAACAGGCTCGTGAACTATAATGGTATAATACAGTCTAATGAGACCACGGTTGAGATGATTGTTCGCCTCTATCTCACGGGTTGTATTGTTGTTACATTAGCATTTCCTATAATCTTCATTGTTTCCTGTCTGATTTGAAGAGCTGTAATCAATCTCTTTTTATGCCTCTTCTCTTTGCTTCTGCTTTATTGGTCTTGTTTATTTACAACAACTACGCTCGTTTCAAAATCAATGTTTAATAATAAACTGCTTAAATTAAAATACTACGAGAGGCTCCTTCACCGTGTTTCTGTGTCTCCGGATATGTGATTCGTCTGGTTTACATCTACATTAAAACACCCCCCCGGTACACAATAAGAAAAATATTAAAATTTAATGACTCCCGAAGGGGTTGTTGCATCAACAAAATAATGAAATAATAAAGCTGAGTAAAGCCGAACACACATAATAGTAAAGCAAATAGAGATGGAGTGAAGTGGCACTTTTAATGTGGAGCATCATGAGTCTATAACTAGTCTACAACTGCTTTGAATTCTAAACAATGAGACAAAAACTCAATAAAACTGCTCCGAGAATATTTAACCACAAACATTTTTGACCAATTTGACAAAAGCCACTGTTGGTCAAAATGTCAGAATAAGGGTCTTTGGAGCAGAAAGTGAAGTTCTGTTGTTGTGTTCTGTTCACGCTGTCTTTCACAGAGTCGTCTTTGTGCACACTTCACTTCCTCTCCTAATACCTGCAACCTCTAAAGCTGACAGTAAACTCCTCGTCTCGCTTGCCTCACGTCCGTCCTCACAATGCTTTAGTTTTTTTCCTGCTGTCTGTCTCTACGTGGATCCATGCTTGATTTACTTCTGTTCTGCGACATGGAGGAACGGAGATGCATTTTGTTCAGGCTTTGTTGTCAACGTGGACGAATACTCTGGATTTCTTTTTTTTATTAACATGCCAATCATTTTTAACACCAGGTGGAAAAGAGTCTCTTGTTGTCCCAGCTCAGAGTGTCTTATATTAACGGCTTCTATAAATGTGGCTGTTAGATTCATCAGCCGGTGTGTCTCAATATCTCACGACCCATTTTCGTCATTTGCTCCCTGCAGCATGTAGTCGGGAAAAATCGCAGGAAAATGCGTGAAATTCCTGCAAAGTTTCCTGGAAAGAATGGTGCACTTCTCCACTAATTTGAGAGGAAATAGAGACCACAGTCTGTCGTGTTGTTTTGAGCTCGTACAGAGGAGCTTTCTTCAAAGAATAGCTGAAATATGAATAAAACAGACGAAGCCCCTGAACTGGGACACAGCGAGAACAGAAAGCAGACTTTGTTGTGACGACTGAGCCGCTGCCGTACCGAAGCACTTGCTCAGGTTCGTCTGTTTGTCGATGAAGACTTTGGCAGAGACCACGTTTCCGAAAGGCATGAACATCTGCAGTATGTCCTGGTCTCCAAACTCCTGGGGCAGGTGGTAGATGAACAGGTTGGCACCCTCGGGACCTGGCGGGGGGACGAGACGCAAGCAAGCAAAAGATAAATGAAATAATCTGCAACCATAGGAACGGAGCCGAAGCACTCGGCGCGGTGTCGCATGACCTCGAGTTATGTTAATGCTTTTAACAGAACTTTTAAAATTCTCCAATTATGTTGAACATCAAACAAACACGAATGCTTTTTCGTTTTCAGTTAATGATAATATTTTCGCTCTCGACCGACAAAAGCAGCTCCCTGTTCCTCTCGCTCTTTCTTTCAGCGGCATGTCGTCTCTCTTAAGAGGGGTCACAGGTCACCCCCCCCCCCACATCCTAATCGTAGACGGTCAGATCTCTCAGAATCATTAAATATGCTCTTCACCGCTAAACGGAGCCCGATATCTGTCACTTCTTTGTCTCCCCTCGAGGGGTTCTGAGCTCCCGGATGGACTGTCGAAGAAAGAAAAGCATCTTCATACAAACGTGTCTTTGTTGGATGCAGAGATGAGACAAACAGACGCAGTCCCACTTAGATTCACGGGACGTTTCATGATCACGTCTGCTTTGTGTCCAACGCTTTTATTGAAGGCTTTTAGAGAAAATAGTTTTACTTCAACCGTCAGGTTCTGTTTGGATTTTCATTTTCTCTTCCACAATATAATTAATTTAAAATATAAAATATAACAGGAATGTATCAGAATGATTCCTAACATATTCATACCAACTGTAACTTTTATATTCCTTCAAAATAAGATCTATTTTTCTTCTGGTAAATGTTCAGTTGATAATTTGAATTGTAGGTTTGATTTAAGAGGAAACTCCTGAAAATGATTATTGTAACAAAACAAATTTTCAATTAATTGATTTCATAGCTGAAAAACTGACTTTGTCCCATTAATAATTATATAATATAATAATAAACACATGTAGATCTTTGGTAAAAATGTTTTAAAGCTTAAGTGACACTGATTTAAAAATGCAATATTTAAATCAGGTCACTTTTGGGCGTTATTTACACATTCATACTACAAACCAATCTTGACACTTTAACTGAGATATTAAACTTCTACGACATATTTTTTAGAAGAAGATCATTCTAGGTTTCAGCTGATGTGTCCTGCTGTCTATTTGCTGCTCTTCAGAGTAAATCCGTCTGCTGTTAAGAAATAAGAACCTCCCGTCGAGCAGCAGCGATGTGCAGACAGACGGCCCCCGGGGGCTTACTGACCCTCTTTCTGGCTGCCGGCGGCCCCTTGCTGCTGCAGCAGGGACTGGCTGTAGAGGGTGGGCAGCGCTGCGGCGGCGTACTGCTGGATCCCTGAGTAAGCCTGCGTCAGCGCGTCCATGGTGCCCGCCGTCCCGTTGGTCAGCCCCCCGCCCAGGCCTCCGTTTAGAGCCGCCATACCTGAGAGCATTTGAGCAACTTTACATAAAACCCAACAATAAAGAAAGAAGAGTGCACTTACTCGTTAGCGCTCCATTGAAGGTTTTTCACCACACACACAGAAATGTTACCACACATCACACACACACACACGCACTGATGTTACACATCAATACTGTGTCTACACACACACAACAGCTAACACGGGACACACAGAGTAACACTTCAAACACACAATAAAGTAGAGGATGGGCGTAGCTGATGACAGCCAGAGCTGCACAGGTTTCAGAAGCACGCAGCGACGAACGCACGCTCACAGGAACACACGAAGACACAGCGTCGACAAAACACTCAGACAAAATGTTAAAACACCAGGATGATCACGTGAAAACACACTTTAGCCGGGACGTGGATGTAGGAATGAGTCCTAAATTTCAGAAATAAGTCTGCCAGAAAAAGAGTGTAAATGAGACGACTAAACGTCCTCCCTGGAACACTCGTCCTCCTTTAGCTTCGTGGTGGAGGCGTGAAGTCATGTGACCGTGGTGGAGTTCCTCCATAGCCCAACGTTAGCTTTTTACTTTCCTAAAAGCAATGTTAATCTGTGAAGATTATCTTGATGAACAAAAACATGTAAGTATCATAAACGTTTGATTTGCCACAGAGATCATTTTCTGCAATAATTCAAAATCCAGTGGAACAATCCCATCGGCTGTTTGTCGAGGGAACAAGTGCAACGTTAACTTCCTGTTTGGCCGGCAAAAAGAGTGCACGAAGCAGTTTAGCCGCACGGAGCCGCTGCAGACAGCTGCATGGATTATAATGAGAGCATATCTGTTGCATGAGAGGGAATAAAGCGCATTGAATTGTCTTGTTTTTGCCGCTCAAAAATGAGTCAATAGTAGTGATTTAGTCACCCAAACAATAGGTGCATCTCTTTTAATACACACTATAATAAAATGACAAAGAATGATACATAATGACAGATTTACTACTTTGATGCACGTTTAAATTCCACGTAATCTGCATTGGTACCGATAAGTGAAATCCATCTCAACACTTAAATTGTCTCGTTCTGCGTGTGGAGAATTGTGTTGCCAAGTCAAACATCAACAGCGAGGTGTGATGTGCTTTTCCAGCCCTGCGACGTCTCACTTTAGGGGTGAAGACAGGCTAGTATGGAGGGAGGGAGGACAGGGGGGGGCTTGCTGGTTTGAAAAGTGGAGGAACGCAGCAGTAACACTCATTAGCTGCTTGTAACGGCTTAATATCACGGCGGAGGGCAACTTGTCTGAGGGGGTCTGACATTGGCTCGGCGTCCTGTCGTCTCACCGTCAGACACAGTGAAATAAATTATCACCGCAGAGCTCCGGATTATAGGTCACTCATTTATTCAGGAATAATTGCACCGGTGACCTTTGCAATTCAATTAAGGCCTAGATGTGTTTAAATGAGGGCGGTGGAGGAAGGGGGGGGGCAGAATGCGGCGAGAAGCATTGGCCGGATGCAAAGAGGAAAGCGGACCTTTCTGTTTGAAAGGACGATCATGTATGTGTGTGTGTGTGTGTGTGTGTGTGTGTTTCTGTACCAGGAGTGGAGGCGGAGATGATTTACACAGCGGATACAGCTACTCCAGCCGAGGACCGGTAAAGGTCAGAGGAGAATAATGTGGTGGAAGAGGCCGGTAGGACAGGATCTCTGCTGTAATAACGGCTCTGATTAAGATCCCAGCTCCCGTCTCCCAGGAGGTCAAAGGCAGGACACGCGGCGCGGAGCTCGGCAGACGCAGCACCATGCGGGCCGACAAGGCGATACGACTCCACGTCTGGATAGAAACGTGTCTCCGCTGCGGATCTCACCAAACTGGAACATGTTTAGATGCTAAACCAGATGCTCTGCAAAATACTTTCATCATAAAACTAACACTAGCTTCAAATGTTGTCTTCATGTCTTCCTGACAAGAACAAATGGTCAAATGTTTGTATTTCTTGGCACGAAGGAAGCAACATTTTTCTTTTTTTTGTGCATGAAAGTGCTCATATCTATTAAATATAGTGTGCATGATGACTGTAAATCAATGTATTTTTTTAAAGTTATTTTAGTGCAAGAATGTGCAAATGTTTCACATGAAAATGGACAGGTTTTGTATTTATTGGGCAGTAAAATTGACAGATTAGTATTTCTTGAATCAACATTTAATTGTATATTTTTAGGCCCGTGTAGAGAAAGCTCCATTTAGCATTTACCGCCCATTCAACCCTCTAATGTTCTCCTGTAGAAATGAAACAGAAACAGGATGTGAAACAATTACAACATGGTCTCACACACACACACACACACACACACACACACACACACACACACACACACACACACACACACACACTGCCGGGATGGCACACCAGCACTCTCAATAGCAAGCTCAACCCAGGACACAACCAGGAAGCGGATGGAGAGATGGATGGATGAAATATCTGCTGCCAGATGAATGAATGAATGAACCAGCCGGCGCTGTGAGAGCGAGAACAATTTACTGTCGAGTGAAAAGGAGACGCAGAGAGACGACGGGAGGAACCGAACTCTTTAAACACACACACTCTTATCTAAGAACTTCTGTTTTCATCTTTCTTTCTTCTTTCTTTCTCTATCTTACGGTATTTCACATCTAAATATGATGATGAATTTCAGTTATCTAAAGAATGTACTTATAGTATCTATAGACTCTTCTGTGCAGCCTCTGCACATTAGAGTAGCATGGGTTTTTAAATAAACTCAGCCTTTGTTTAATATACTAAATATCATATATTAAATATTGTTTAATATATATTTTTCTTTTAAGTACAAATTCTGAAGATCTTGAAAAAAAATCTGTTACATTTTTTCTTTCTTTAAATTTATAAAATTAAAGATTAAATAATGACAAATTGTCGGTTTTAATAAAAAACAATCGCATGCAACGGCCTCCATAGAAGCCACATCAGTGAGACTCTAATGTGCGGCGCCGCTGCGTCTCTCTGCGGCGGCTCACAGGTCGTAGCAGCGATGTCGCCGATGGGCGTGGACGGTGGGAAAGCGGAGGTGTGGGTGACGGTGGAGTGGCTGATGGCAGAGTGAATACTCACTGTTGATGCTACCTGCTAGTGCATTAATGTTGTTCAGGCCGACGGTGCCTGCCAGGCCCTGCAGGGTGCCCAGAGAGGTCAGAGAGTTCATGCCGGCGTTGGAGTTGGCTGTTGTTGCGGGAAGAGAGGAGGACAGGGGGGGAAGGGGGGAGGAGGTGAAGAAGAAGAGTAGGAGACAAAGAAACAGACTTGTTCAAGAAGATTCCTCCTCAAGGCCTTCTTCACTCAATACACATTAAAAAATATTTCATACATCTCGGCCTTTTGTAGAGTTTATATTGACGGTGCTATTTATATAATTTAACATCTTTTTGAAATGGAATAACTGTAAACTAGCTGAAACCACTGCTGAGAAGACTGGCTGCCTCTGTTTCACCTCAATGAAGTCTTCAATGCTCTAATAGTTTAATATCTTAAATATTTTAATGCCAATTGGTGGAAAGTCTGGAAAAAAAGGTGGAGAAAAGTGGGAGGAAAGTCTGAGAAAAGTGGGAGATAGCGACACCGTGTGGCCCCTCGTACCAAACTTCAGACGTCCTACTTCTGCTGCATTCACGTGGAATCGGGCAGACGGGAGAGCGGTCGAGAGCAGGACGGTAAAGTTACACATCGTTGCAGTTTGTGCATCTATTTCTAGATTGAGGATGAATCTATTAATTAGAGTCGGCAGCCATCCCAGCCTGAACAGATTTTCCCTCGTATATTTTGGAAAACTTCCTTCTTCAAATTACATCCAACATTGACCAAACATGGACCAATGTGATGTTCAAATATTCCAAAAAGATTTAATTTGGATTTGATTCTTTTAATTAGTTTATAAATCTTTGAAACGCCGCGACGACAAGTGTCCATACTAGTCAAACACGAGACGTTCCGGCACTAAAATGCAACAATGCAGAACTAAACTAGAGCCTTGGGAGTTTATTCTGTGAAACATCTTCTGAAGAGAAGCGCTGCAGTTCACGGGAAATGTGATCTCGAGGCAACCAACTGTCTCCACAGTGATCTCATTCTGTTATGGATTTAAAATATTGTGTCTCAGGTTAATTAAAGGTGAATATTTTTAAACATCCAGGAAAATCAGCAGCACTTCATCATATATACAAAAAAAACCCTCATGTAAAAGCATATGGAGATGAAAACAGGAGACACACTACAGGGAAAAACAAGGCTTCTCATGCACTGTTCTTCTGCTATCATCGTCAATCAGACTAGTAGAAAGAAAACATACAATATACATATTAAGCTGTTTATTTCATAACTTTGTCTGTTTGCGTCTGTAGATTTCTCCAAAAGTTACCATTAGATAACGCCTCATTTGCATATTTCAACATAACATTTCAGAAATCTCCACTTCAGCAGCTCTTACATGCACCAAACGTTACACTTTCACTCCTCTCTATGTTCTGAAGGTTTCCTCGCCTGGCTTTATCCCATGTTTATAATTATTATTTATTTTAACCTGTTCACCTGTAGTGTCTCCCCTTCAAAGAACATGTATGGTTTGCTGTTTGCAGATATTGGTAAAAGCAGGTACAGTGCTGCATTCAAAGTGATGCTGTCGTTGCATGAAACAAAACACAAGGACCATCCAATAAGAAGCAGACGACATGTACAGGAAGGAGGAGGAGCATCAACCAGAGGAGACTTTCTCTCTGTGAAACTCGTGGAATTCTCTCGATAGTGACTTTTCATCGAGCACAGCAGGTTACAGACACCAAAACACACACACACACAATTCAACACGGTGGACACAAACTCACACACACACACACACACACACCAGGGACTCACAGCAGTGTGGAATGTGTGCCATACATGACACTGCTGTGTCAGCGGCGGTGGGTGAGATGGCAGTGGTGGGGGGGGGGGAGGGTTGAGGGGGACAAAAGCTCGCAAACCCTGTTCTGTCTTTTTTTCCTGACAGAAGAATCTGCTCGTTTATACTCTTGATCTCATCAAAGCGATGCCGACAAAGCAGCTGGAGGAAAATGTGCGTGATAACGGCAGCGCTGTGACGGCACATGGTGCAGGAAAAATAAAATAAAAAGTGCTGGCCTGTCTCCATGCAGAACTGTCTATATTTATCAAACCTGCGTGACGTTTCTCAGTTTCATTGACACATGCAGTTCAGCGCCGCTCATTCACACTCAACCTGAGTGTGTGTTATTCAAGGTTGGACTGACATCCAGAGTCAGAGAGAGAGAGAGAGAGAAAGAGAGAGAGAGGGAGGCTCGGTTGGAGGCAGGAAGTGGGATGGAAGCGGAAGAGAGGATGCTGAGGAGGAGGAGGAGGAGGAGGGGGGAAGGGATAGCTTTTCATATTCATGCTCTGTTGGGAGTGCGCTCCGAAAAGAGACGGAAAAAAAAAACACTGGCTGCTGGAGCGAGGCCGGGGCCGACATAAAAGGGGGAGAATGATGGAGCAGAAACAGGGAGCTTGTCAAAAGGAGGGCAGCAGCAAAAAGACGAGGGCAACGAGAAGGAACACAAGAGGAGGAGGAGGAGGAGGAGAATGAAGCAGTGTAGGGGAAAAAAAGAAGAATCTGAAGGTGGCGATATTTAACCTGAGTCAAGTTCAGACACCAACCTGCTAGTTGCTAAAGACAACACACCAACACACACACACACACACACACACACACACAGGTGCACACAAACCCGGACCGCCGGGTTTCTGTAAATCTACAACCGGTAAAAGGTTTTGGCACAAATCACACCCCAAAAAAACATTTAAGCACAGAACGCACAGACATGCACACACACAGACGCGCACACGTATACAGTGCGTGTATCACGGGATGGGCGTGGTTGTTGTGGCCGAGGAAGTGAGGAGGACGATAGAGGTGGGGCGGCGCTTCGACAACACGACAGCATGGTCTGTTGAGATGGAGGACGGTGGATTACACACACACACACACACACACACACACACCATGGGAATGTGCCAGACGGGAGATCTGAACAGATGAATCAGCAGCGATGATTTGGGTTGATGGGGTTTTTTTGGTGATGTGTCATGGGGGTGGGGGAGGGGCGACAACACTGGTGATGGTGGAGAGCGGAGGACGTAGGCAGGCGTTGGGTGCCCCTCCACCCACCCCGACCCCCGGCGTCCCGAAGTTGGCTGAGGTGTTACCTGGGCTGCCCAACGCTCCCAGGGAGGCGACGCTGTTGGACAGGGGGTTTGCGGCGGAGGGACTGGCTGAGTTTTGGGCCGCCGCCGCTGCCGCCGCTAAAGTGGCCAGGTTCTGCAACTGCAGAGCACTCATACCTGGAGAGAGGAGCCAGAGAGGAGGGGGGGTGTCAAACCTTTAGGGAGCGAGGTCGTGGGCTCGGCTGGCTGGACCCGGGACAGAGTTCACCAGAGGGACAAGTACCGAACACGAGCGAGCTGTCCTGGTCGTCCGGAGGTGAACCAGGAATGACAGAGGAGTGTGTGTGTGTGTGTGTGTGTGTGTCACTGTGAAGAGTCTGCAGTGTGTGAAGAACAAACTACAGCAGATGATTTTTGCTAATAAGTCCCAAATGTGTGTGAATCAGTAAAAGCAGCTGTTGTTGTGTTTAGGTTTGGTGCATCTCTCTGAGGCAGAAATGATCTCTGTGATTTAGTTAAACTTATATATTGTTTTTCTGTCTAAGGAGGGCTCAGTGGACGAGGCTCGTTGTCTCGTTATCAGGCTTTTTTATGCCGATTATATCATTTGGGATTCAACTAGAACTCTTTTGCTCGGCTTTAAACAAAAGTATAAAAAGTATAAAGGGTGCCTTTTCAACGTGACGCTTTATCAGCTGCAACTGCCACGTGAGCTAAACACGCTAACATGCACTGAAAGCTACATCAACAAAAGAAGGAGAAGCTCTTAAACAACCCTTCCAGAGAGAGAGAGAATTCATCCTCTGCTCAGGTAGACATTAGTCCACTATATCTTCACATAAAGAATAGATGTTTGACGTTTTATTAATGTCCAGAATGCGTAGGTAACGTGCTTAATTTTAACCCAAACCACAGCCTTTTCCTAAACCTTACCGCATTGTTTCCTGTGAAAACGGAAGTTTATTTTGAAAAGAGGGGTACGAAGAGAGCCAAAGTCTGAATCATAGAGCCGCTGACCGAGCTGCCGAGTTAGAAGTGAGAACGGGCTGAATATAACAACAGAGAGTATTAAGGAGGACAGATATACATCTGTCTTTAGACTAAAGACTTTCAAAATAAAGCTGTAGCTGAAGACACCTGCAGGCTGAACCCTCCTCGCTGGTAATCTGCTTGCTGGCATTAGCATACAGGCCTGTACTTAAGCATAATTAATGACTACATGCCAACACCCAAGTGATGGGGAAGCAAAGGCTATAAAACACCTTCTGTGACTACAACTGAACCTTTCACCTTTTCTCCGTGTGTGTGTGTGTGTGTGTGTGTGTGTGTGTGTGAACACTACGAGGTGGAGAAACCTCATAAAGCAAACAGAATCAGTCACCAGAGCAGGAAGTTGTTCTTACCACCAGAGAAGCCTCTTCCTCCGACTCACGAGCTTGTTAAGAGGTTAAGAGGGTGGACACTGTCAATGTTGAGGTGTATGTGTCGTATATACAGCCTGGGTGTATATACAGTACCATGGGAATACGCACACACTCACTCACACACACACACAGATAGACACACACAAACAAGACACCACGAAGAAGATCCATCTTGTTTGAATGAAGATCCGAAACAGAGATATCCTTCAGCCGGACAACCCAACCCAACGCAGCAGCCAATGACAGCCGACGGCTGGATTCATCACTGGGATCCACACCTCTGATTGGTTAATTAAAGGTATATAAATAAAAAAGGGCCACTCTTCAGCAGGAAGTGTGTGTGTGTGCGGTAATGAGTGTGTGTACTCGCATCGAAGCCAAAACCAATCTTGTTTTCAGAGCGATTTTCCTCAATTTTCTGTGACGCATCAAAAGCTAAAATGGTTTTTCCATTTTTCTACGCAACGTGGTGAATAAAAACAGGAGCCCGCCCGCCGTCGCTCTTTTCTGTCACGTTCAGTGAAAAATGCACAAATCGAATCTCGTACTAATTTAGACCGTGTGTGTGTTTCTTTACCTTTAAAGTGCAGCAGGCGAGCGAGCAGCTGGCTCATTCTCCGTCTATGAGAGCTCTTCTTCATGGCTCTTTATTATGATACTTTCTCCCCTCGGTGGGTTTGACCACAGAGGCTCCGATCCCACACAAACGTTTCGGGGTAATACTTCAGTAATACTTCAGTAACACTTCAGTCCGTTTACAATGCAAACACATAGTTACCGTAGAGAATCGTCTGTTTCTATTCCATCCCTGTTTTTCCAATTTCCTTGATTTCTTTCCCTTTTCTCTTCCTTCCTGCCTGCATTTCCTTTCCTCACCCTTTCACTTCCCCTTTCCTATCACACATTTCCCTTTCTTTTACCATTTTTCCTTCACTGTCTTTTCTTTCCTATTCCCTCTTTTCCTTTCCTCCCATCCTTTATAAACATCTTTCATGCCTAATGCTTCCTTATTTCCTTCTCTTTTTCCATTTCCTCTTCTTTGCTTCCCTGCACTTTAGATCTGTTTTCCTCCTTTCCAATTTCCCACATATTAACTCCCCTTCCTTCCTCTTTTTCTATTTCCTGTCTTCTTTCTCTCCATTTCTTCTGTTGCCTTTTACTCTTCCTCCTTTCCTTCTCTTTTACCCCTTCATTTATTTTCCTCCCCTTTTCCTTTTCTTCCATTCCGCCCTTCCACTTTCCAATTTCTTAGTTTCCCTCCTCTTTTCCATTGTTTCCTTTCCTGCCTCTGTTATCTTTTCCTTACCTCCTTTTCTTTCTTTCTTTTCTCTACTCCCTGCTCTCTCTCTCTCTCTACATGCTACCTCTTTCCCCCCTTTTCTCAAAGCAACTCAACCCCAGCTCTTACTTGCATTAGTCCAACGTTATCTCCCTCATTGAACAAACGTTTAGGACGGTCATGAGGAGGAAAACGGGAGCAGGCGTGATATAAAAGTATATTTCTGTGTTAGAGAGAGACGGCAAAGAAAGAGACAAATACAATCGACTCCCCGCATCACAGTCGGAGTATCCGGGCTGTGCAGATGGTACGTGAGTGTGTGAGCGACTACATATGTGTGCGAGGACGCACGTGTGTGTGTGTGTGTGTGTGTACACGCTCCATGCGGCCTGTATGGCAGCGCCGGGCTGCACCAGGCTGGTGTTGGCTGTGTCTAATTGAATGCTCATTGGTGTAATTGAAGCCTCTCAGCTCTGCAGCTCCTCGTGTTAAAGACTGGGACCAGATGTCATTCAGCTGTGTCACATCTCCTGCCAATCACTAATGCTCCCTCTCTCTCTCTCTCTCTCTCTCTGTCTCTCTCTCTCTCTCTCTCTCTCTGTCTCTCTGTCTCTCTCTCTCTCTCTCTCTCTCTCTCTCTCGCAGATGGAGGACCAACAGATCTCCAGATTCAGACGCCGTTACTCGCCCTCGCTTCCAAAAAATCCCAGAGCCTGTTTTTCCCGTGCGAGTGTGTGTTTGTGAGGAAATGTGTGTTTGACCCTCGACAGCACAGTGTGCAAAAAATAAAATAAAAAATGTAAATCATCCAGAGGGAAATTGCAAAAGGCGCTGTAGCTCAAGAGAACACGACGGAGAAAACTGGAGGACACAAGATGGCGCTCGCCACTTTGAAAGAGAAGAACTCCCATGATGCTCAGATAGCGCTATTGTTTCTCACTCGTCGCCTGGCTAAGCAGCGTACAATTAAGAGCTCGCTGAGGAGAGAGGAGGAAGGTTGGTGTAAAGGTGAGATGAAGAAAGTGTGATTGGAGAAGGTGGGAGGTGCAAGAGAAAAAGAGAGAGGCTTAAAATAAATTGAGAAGAGAGAGAGAGCAAGAAAGAGGAGAAGAGTTTAATGAAAAGAGAGAAGAAGTCAGAGATGATGATGAGAGCGAGTATCCACGGGTCCCGGAAAGTCTTAAATAAATCTAAATTTTAAGCCCTAAAAAATGATATTTCTTAAAGACAGAGATTTTATCTTGTTCAACATTTAATAGGAGGCTTCTTGGCTCGCTGCAGGCTCAGATTAATACAGAACTGGGTTAATACAATATGCATTTTTTATTGCGGCAGCCTTACTTAAGAGAATTGGACTGTCCCTTACCACTTTACATCTCCTATTTCTTGCGTCCTTCCTTCTTAGAGTTTGAAAAGTTTCACCGGCTAATATTCACTGCAGGTTTTATGAGCTTTATTTCCCTCTTTTTTTCAGCTCTCGCCTGCTAACGGCTCATACTTGACTGCAGATACTCTTGAGAGAGAAAGCATGGAAGTGCAGATGACAGATCACAGTGAGAGAGGAGCAGTAGATGGCGCCAGCCCGCAGTGCACAGATATCCACCAACAAGCCACCCGCTTTTAACCAGTTTTCCTCCACTCCCTTCTTCTCTCTCTCTTTCCGATTCATCCGTCCCAGAGCCTCGGTGCTACCGCTATACGCCCAGGGCACAGCTCTTGTCTGGCCTCATTAAAAGATCAAGACAATTCTTAGCAACGGTTAATACATCTTCGGGGCAAAGATCTCTCTTAACTCCGACACGCGAGTTCATCTGTTATGCTCTTTGGTCCTTCTTTTAGAAGTCTGCGAACAAAAAAAGAAAAATAACAAGAGAGGCGCAACAAAGAGTCCATCGCCGTCGTGGATTAAACAAAAAAAAAAAAGAAAGAAAAAAGGAAGTTTATCAACTGATTTCTTTTGACTCACCGGCCATCTGCTGGATCCCGCTGAAGGCTCCCAGGTTACTGGAGGAAGTCGCCTGCTGGAGCAACTGATGGGAAACAAAAAAGAAAAGAGAGAGGAGGAGAGAGGAGGCAGAGGAAAGAGAAGAGGGAGAAACAGAGTGAGCCGTGTGGATGCAGCAAGCTCGACACATGTCTGCACAATGCTACACGGAGAAGCTAAACTGGTAATTTAGCAATGCGGGTTTGTTGCCTCGGTGCTCGATGAGTAAATGAGCTGCTAATACAGCTTGATCTCTCCTCTAAGCAAACGCTGTTTGTATTCCGCCGTGATTCTTCCAGACAAGTTGAGCATGAAAGCTCTAATCTAGCCGACTAATTAGATTCCAAAAACAAAAGTGGAATACTGACGCTGTCAGAAAAAGAAAAATCATCCTTCAAAGAGTTGAATTAACAGCAAATTAACATATTGTTTCTGTTGTTTGTGCCGAATACAGAGCGTAATCTTCTCAAAAGAGTGAAGAAAGAGGATTGAAAGAGCAGGAAGCCGGGAGCCCAGATTCACAGAACACTTTTTACCCCCAAAGAAGAAATCAATATTCAGTAAAGGTGGGATGTCTGCCTGAGCTCTGTTCTCTCGTTGAACAGACAGGTGTTAATTGCTCTTAGAGTCACACAAATTGAGAATCGAAAGACTATTGACGTCGTGTGTTTTAAGGAGAATTTGGGCTGTTTAATTTAGACGCTAAGAGCAATGAGTCAAGGGTTAGCGCCCAGACTTTCCTGAAGAGAATGAGGCTCTGAAAAGGCAAATAGCTGCAGAGACACGAGGAGGGAAGGAGGTTTCTGAACTTTAAGAAAATAAAATACAAATCCCCCCCCAATCAAACAAATCAACCGACGGCGGTCTCAGATGTGCAGCCGAGCCGCTGCAGGATTTATCAAATTGGGGATCAGTGGACTCCCGAGGGGTTCAACACTGTCCCCAGCCAGATCATTTATTTGTTTAATCCCAACAAAAGTCTGAGGAAGTTACCACATTCAGCCTCGAATAAATCAGAACAATTACAACGAAATAGGCCTCACATTTAACTTTGGTTTCCATAGAACATTTTCCTCCTGGAGGATTCTCTGTGTCTGTGCTTTCTCTCTCTGGTGTTACACTTTCTTGAGATACAGAACGTACATTATTGGCTTCTAGCAGCCTCAACCTGTTCAGAGACCTCATTTCCTCGCCAGCCAACAATCCCAAGAGGAGGATGGAGGAGAGGAGGAAGAGAACGAAAGAGAGAAGGCAGGAGGAGACAGGAAGCCAGAGAGAGTGTTTGGGAATTTTTTTTTTCAGGTTGGAAGGTTTTTCGATTGGGGAACTGACTGCGGCGGCGTTGGCCATGGGGCTGTAGTAAGGGGTGGAGGAGGTGATGGTGGTGGGCGACGCGGCGGCTCTCCTTACAGCCAGATACTGCGGGGTGAGGCCGCCCAGGCCCGTCAGGCTCCCCCAGGTGGTCGCACTGTTGAGCTGCTGCATCTGCTGCGCCAGCTGCTGCTGCAGACGCCGCTGCTCCTTGTCCTTCTGCGTGTCGGCGAACTTCACCACGATGGGAGACGAGCAGCCCTGTGTGGGAGGAAAGGAGGGAGAGGAGGGAGAGGAGGAAAGGAGAGGAGGCAAGACAGCAGAGAAGAAAAGAAAAAAATGAAGACAGAAGAGGAGGAAAGATGGAGGATGGAGGAAAGAAGAGAGGAAATGGGAGAGAGGAGGAAGATAAAACCGGGTGAGGACAGGAAATAGAAAAAAGAAGAGAGAAGGATAAAAGAGGAGACAAGACAGGAGAGTAAAATGATAAAATAAAAGGGGAGAGGAGAGGAGGAGAGGAGAAGAGAAAGGAGAGATAAGAGTAAAAAAGGAAGAAAGAAGAGATGGAAGATTCAAAAAGGAAAAGAGGAGGCAAGAGAAGAAATGTGGAAAAAGAGGAGAAGAGGAGACAAGAGATAATTAGGGAATGAGGTCTGTGTTTACACATTCACTTTATACTGTATACGATGATAACAAATAAAAATGATTCATGTATGGATGCATATCATGAAATCTTATAAAAACATCTTATATTAAACTTTACATCAGCTAGGAAGAAGAAATATCTACTCTCGATGAAGTTAAGAGACACACACACACACACACACACACACACACACACACAACCTGCTGCTCTGAGGAATACAGATTCGGACAATTAGAAACACTTCTGTTCATCTAAATCTCCAAATCTTCCTCTCAAAGTCTCTTTCTGGTCATCTCAATCCATCTCTCTTGGCCTTTCTACACGCACACTCTTTCTCTCTTACACACACACACACACACAGTATCACACACACACACAAATCAAGTCTCTCTTCACATGAGATGATGAAATAGTTGGAGAACTCAGGAAATCTGTTTCTGGTGAAACCGTTCTGGACTCACAGATAACTGAGCCCCTTGTGGGCAAAAGAAGAAAGCCTAGTGGCTTTAGAGTCAAGCTTCCTGTGTGACTCTGTGCGTGTGTGTGTGTGTGTGTGTGTGTGTGCGCGTGTGTGCACTGTCACACACGGAGAAGGAGAAAAAAAACGAAAGACACAACGCTCCTGATGAAAGTTGCAGCGACGGCTGAAACACAGCGAAGCAGAAAAACGGCAAGTCGTAATCTATCACGCCGAGCCGATACTCAGACGCCGCAATCAAAGCCTAACTAGGGGGCAAATCCGTCGGAAACAAAGGCAATCTGCCACGGGAGGATAAAAACCTTTTGATTGAAACATTTAGTTCGAGGCACGATCCTCCGACTCGGCGGGAGGGGAAGGGAAGGATTCGGCTAATTTGCAGACAGCAGCAGACACAGCTACACGTGTGTCTTCTTTAAAATCAACTTAACTTTTAGCGTCAAATCAACGCGTTTACACAAGTTAGCGTACTTCCCAGAATGCATTGTCTTTCTTACATGTATGTTGAATGAAAACGGCTGCCACTAATCTTTATTTTCATTATTATGTATCTATTTATTAATCCTTGATTAATTGATTAATAATCTCGTTTATAAATTGTGACAAAATGTCCACAAAATTATTAAAATATTTGTTTACGATGATATAAAATAGAGAAAAGCAGCAAATCACCACATGTGAGTAGTTGTTGTCACATAATTGTTCGATGAATTGATTTAAAGGGCCAGTGTGTCATATTTTGTGGAAGAATCTACGGTGGCCTCCAGGTGCATTCGCTCAACAAAATTCATGGTCGCTGTCCGTGGTGCATATTCATAAACTACTTTATTGCCTTTATACAAACCCTGTAAAGAAACAAGTCAAGTATTAAATGTATTATAAAGAAACGAAGGTTGAATATCCGGTAAACTATTTGATTTGGCTGCAAAATCAAATGAAGATTATTATTGTACATGTGCACCACGAGCTACACCCTCAGGATGAAGAGCTGCTGTAGTTGAACCTAACTTATCCTGAAGATAATAAGACATGCAGTGACGATGCGACACGCCTGCACATACACGACGGAGCAAAAATGATAAAATTTGACGTCAGAACCAGTTATAATTCAGTTAATGTTCAATCTTAAAGTAGCCTCAATAGCAACATTTTGCCACGGCTCAATTATCATCTCAATGTCTCCTGTCCGTCCATATATACTGCGTCCCTCCACCAGTCATTTTCCCTTTTCATTCCGCCCGCCGACAGATAAAAGAGAGGTGACGATGGGAGAATTGCCTTCGGAGCGAGGGTGTCAAGTTTGGGGTCTCGCCGCTGCAGCGGATTCCCCTGGAGACAGGAGCGCCCCTATACCTGCTCTCTGCTAAATATCTCATTACTCCAGCTGACACCCGGGCAGCGGGGAGGAGACGAGGCCCAGAATGAGAGTCCTGCCCCGGGAGAGGGGCCGAGGGGGGCCGGGGGAGGCCTCTATACGCTCCGTGCATATACCGGTTCTCCCTCAACACCGGGGCTGCACTTTCAAGTTTTTCAGGCGATTGGCCGGCTGCACAACTTTGCCCTTCAGTGATAAAAAAAACAACGCGCGGAGGGAAAGTGGCAGCTCGTGCCATCTGTTGGGTTTCGCTCAGAGAAACAAACCATCATTGATTTTCATCCGTAGGGGGATTTCTTAATAATTCAGCATGGATTAGTAACAGCTTGAACTTTTGTTTATCAAACACTGTGTGACTTCTGTGCTAATCAGCCATTAGTGGGATGAAACTCAACTGTTCTGAGAAAATATTTCATTAAAGCCAAACTCCTTAAAGCTACAATATTTATAGATTTTAATGAAATCAAACCCCCGTTTTTGAGACCTTTCTATGTGTTTACACTCTGTAATTACCTCTCTGTATGGTCGTTGTTATTGCTCGTGGCGGGGTCCGCCATTCCTGTGCTGGAGTCCCGTATTAAGTTACTGCTAATGCTATAAATGTCCTGCTGCTGAGAGTAAAGTTAAACTATTGCTCCACCTTTAGCAGTTACAACATTAGTGATGCGTACGTATTAATGCGTCAATAACTACAATCCAATAATATAAATGGGCCATTCTGTTTACCTACTTTCGGTACTTTAAGTGTGTTTTGATGCTAATACTTTACTACTTAAGTCAAATATTGTTTGCAGGACTTTTACATGTAACAGAGTATTCCTACACTGATGTATTAGTACTTTCACTTCAGTAAAAGTTGTGAGTACTTCTTCCACTACTGATTAAAGAGACATCCAGACTGCTTTTTTAGTATTTGAGGAGCTAATGTTTTTAGGTATTTGTTGCTTTGGGGGAAAAAACCAAAATGCCGCTGGGTGAAATTACACCTCATGTTGTGAGCAACTAAAATCTGCAAACCATCTGATTTGTTTCGAATTGGTCACTTTTGAGCACAAACAGCAGGGAGCACCATGAGGACTCTACCTCTCTTTGAGTCCCTCGTAGATTGTTGACATAATAACACACTGAATATATTAATGCTACCCCGATATGGAAAAACAACTTTGTGGTCATAAAAATAAGTTGTTGGTGTTTGTCTTAAATGGTCTCTGGGTTCAGATATCTAGAAATAAACATGTCATTAACTGGATGTTGGCGGTGCAGCGTCGGTTCATGCTTGACACTATTTCAGGAGAGACTTTACAGCTGCAGATTGTCTCCTGTGTTGCAACAACTTTCACATCTGAAGAAGAAAATAAAGCGCTCCGAGTCCCACAGGAGACGTTTCTTCAGGGAAAACACTCCTTTTTCTGAAATGTTATTTTTGTCTTGTTTCGTACAATTTTCGACAAATCTTGGATAAATATCTTTATAGCATATATCATAAAGTTTGTATCTCTGCAGAGAATGAAATACGGATGTCAATGACAGCCTATAGTTTAACTGACGCTGCAGACATCGCAATAAGCACCTGGCACATGTATAATTATGTAATTACAGCACATTTTTCCATTAAAATGACACCTCGTCAGCTGCTTCAGGATGAAGGTTTTGACCTCGCACGCCCCCAAAACAATAAAAGTCAAACTTTGTCTCAGAGACAGAAGTTACGGCCTCGTGATGGACTTCACCAGGAGTTCACTCGGCTAATAAAGCTGCCTGCGCTCCCTGAGGCCGACTCTCTGAGACAACCGTGAACGGAGCATTACGCATCACTTCCCATCTCCTCCCGTGAATGCACGCCTCGACACGAGGACACGCAAACTCCACTTATAAGCTCCGGTCCGTTTACCTTGAAAATCAAATCTATCTCTCTCTCTCTCGTAGCTTTCAAGAGAGTTTATGTGCTCTGAACCTTCTCCGTCTCATTTATTCACCACACACTGAGCCTCTGAATGTCAAAACCATGTGATGTGCAGCTACTAAAAGGAAAGCAGGAGGCTCTGTTCACTGCAGGAGTTTGCACGCCAAGTACTTTGTGCACACTTAGATTAAAACAGCGTGCAGACAACACAAAGTTTTGCATACCGAGTCAAAATTAAGCATCAAAAACAGTAAGAGTTTGATCTCAGGCTCTTTTCTAACCTTTTCACTGTGTATAATTTAGCTTTTGTCTCCACATTTAAATGTAATAATTCAATTTGTTCACTTTCTTTAAAATGTTTCCTCAACTGTTTTTCTTCTTTATGTTGTTTTGTTTTAATCATCAAAAGCAAATTCTTAAATGTGCAATATACAGTTAAATGTACAATATAGATAAACCGCCTTGTCTTAGTATTTGAGCCGTCTGTGGTTTGAATCGGAGTCGGCTCAAAGCCCGACGCGTCTCTCACAGATGCTAAAAGCTGCTTCAGTATTCACACTGCGTCCATATTTGACGATTTGGGAGTGAGAACGAGCCGTCGAAACACTTACATGTCATAAATTTGCGACCCATATTTTTGCAGCAGTAGTTAAAAGTAGAGCAGCCCTCAATACTGATAACGTTTAACGATACATCACCGAGGTTTTACAAGATCCTACGGTGTATCTTCTACACCTCGCTATACGACAGAATGACGTCTACTAATCAGCATCGGTCTACTTGTTGAAATGGTTTCAGACTCATTTTGGAGGTTGTAGTTCGGGGGGGTGCTGCTGAAATGTACTGAGCTACTATACTGCAGATACTGTTTCTAATATTTTGCCCCACTAGATGTACATCAATTAGGGTGGACAAAATAATAGAAACACCTGTCGGGATGATGAATACAGTTCAAACTGCAGCCCCCGAACCCGAAATCAGAAAAACTGAACAAACCTTCATGAAGGGAGGATTTATTACAGGACTGTACTTAGCTGAGTATTACCTGAGGGTCTGTATCAAGTACATTCATGAGACCACTGGTGACAGAAACACAACTGACTTGGCGTGCAGAGGCTCTAAGTGAGACTCCTGTTAAAACACATATGGGATCACCCGGCGTCTCGTACAACATCACCCCTGATTAATCTAATCCAACATTTTCTCTCCACCGTTTGTCTCCTCTCTCTTCACTACAGTTGACAGACGCATTTGTTCGCTATTTAAACAGACGCCACTCCGCTGTCCCTCATGCTCCACTTAAAGCTCTCGTCTACATGCCCTTGAACGCTTGTGCGGCGACGGGGGGGGGGGGGGGGGGGAAAACAAAGGAGGGGGGGAAGAAAATAAGAAAGAAAAAAAAAAGAAAAAAGAA